TCCGCTCGATCGCTTCTTCAATACGAGCTGTATTGAAGTTGCGTAAGTCCCGCAGCATGCATTTGGAGGTTCAGTTGCCTGTATGCTGTCAAATCTGTTGAAGACTGTAGCTTCATCTTCCGCCTAACAGCCATGAGATTAAGAGTGTGATCGGAGTTTTTGTGTTCTTCTGCGGCGGGTCTTGCAGAACTTAGCTCCGACCCCATAGACAGTTTCCACGAGCTTGTCATTCACATCGTCCACTTCATTGCGTCTCCTAGGCACTGAAAACGATTTTGTAACTCGAGCTGAAATGTTTCGGGACTCTGAAATAGAGCACGAGGGGGACGGAGCGTTGACTTCATTAGACGAGACCTCTCCAACTTAACGTTTATGTTCAGTGTGTCTCTAACCATTCGGTGATCGCCACCAGTTTTCACCCTCGCGATCACGGAGACATCACTGAACAGTTGTCGTCTGGTCGTCATAATGAAGTCAATCTCATTTTTTGTTGAACCGTCGGGGCTCGACCAGGTCCACTTCCTGTGGTGCCGCTTCTGAAAGAAAGAGTTCATCATAAAGAGTCCCTCTTTCTCCATGTAGTCAGCCAGCTGCTGGCCCCTTGGGTTTCTGTTGCCCTATTCCAATTTCCCCACTTTCAGCTCACCGTTCTCTATTGTGCTTAGTTTTGCATTGAATTCTCCCATTAACACCGTATAGTGGGTTTTGGAGGAATGCATGACTCATCGGGATGTGCCGAGGTTAGTGCATAAACCGTTTGGTGATTCTGAGTATAAGGTACCTCGTCGACGTACTCAATCTTTACAACGTTGTTACAACGAGATTCTTAAATAAATCGTGTAAATTAATAATAGATATGTACTCGTACATTAGAAATATAACAAAAGAAACTTAAAGAAAACATTTATTATTTGTAAACAAACAATTTTTTTGCATTTTGTATCGATTTATTAAAGCGATTTATAAAAACTACTCTCTGACTAGAAAAACCAATATGCAAACATAATTACCAAGTGAATAAGTCATCAATTACTACACATTATTTCATTTTTACTACTAGAAAAACAACTAAGTTGTTAAGCAGATTTTACATTTATTCTCAAAACTGTAACTAATCATTTATCAATCAACAAATCATTAATATCAACATAAAAGTAAAATATGGCCTAACAATAAATCAATTCAGGTAATAAATATAAAAATTAAAATGTTCTGTTACTACAATTTAAATTTTATGAGAATATTAAATGTACTTGTAAAATTTTGGCTAATTTACTACAAAATTATGGATTTGTATGTATATGAACGTTTTTAGCACTCAACATTTTCTGAAGCATGTAAAATTTTAAAATTAAAGCAGTTACAACAACAATAGAAAAGAAAAGATCGTGGAACCATAATTTCATAATGCTTCCAAAATTGATGCATTAAATAGCTATATTGTAGTGATCGATAAAGAAGTGAAGACAATCTTAAATATGTACAGCACCCTTGCTCGGAGGCTGGAGACAATGAAATTGCAAGATCAATCATATAAAATAAATGTTAATATCTATAGTTGGAAATGCATTTTATGTCCTAAGTAATGTTGATAAGAAGAATTGTCAAATTTTAACAATTAAATACTTACATAACCTATTCTAATACTGCTAATCCTAAAAATGCTTTTGTGTGAAAGACAGAGGTTTGTATAAACCACCTAATTTAATATTTATATACAATGTGTTCAGATGAACAGACGATACAAACATGTTAATTAATGAGACTTCTGTTTATACCAGTAGATCGGAAGACAGAAATTTTGAAAGAAAAATATAAAGTGAAATCATGGGAGCGTGCCAATCAAGGTCAGCCAAAGTGGGGAAGGTAGGGAGAAAGACTCTTGAGGTAAATATATATTTTTGCTTGCTCGATGATTCGAAAAGAGTAAGGACGCCATCAGTCCCGGTTTAACAGAACTGTCACCGTTATTGAGCGTTGTGTCCCTATATTAGACGAAACTTATATTTGTCCCCACAAAAAACTACACAACAAAATGCAGCATTTACCCTCCCTTAGGCCTGAGATCCGATGGGGCTACCCACCCACGATGCCAGCCTTCATATGATAGCAGAACAGTGAAGCAATAAGTAAGTAGGAGTGAATAGTACTGACTCCGTATAAACATTATTTTTGAGACAGCACAGTAAACTAAAGTAATTACTTATTCGAGGATATTATTGAAACCCATTAAAACTGACTCCAGCGAGCAAATTATTTCAAAGGAGTTCTAATTCATCTTTAACTAGTATAGCTTCTCTAATAAATGTATCTCGCCATTAAACTACTGGAGCAATAAGTATATTATATATTTAAAATAAAATGAAAATTTCTAAGGATCTTTACATTTTATTTATTTAGAAGTGATGAGAAATAGCCAAAGTCACATCGTCACCATCCATTCAAATTCGAATAAAAATATTTACATTCTTAATTATATTGTTTTTGACTATATGTACAAACTCTTTAAAAACTGTAAGATGTTTATAAAACAGTTTATGTACGTATTTGATGACGACGACGTTAATATTCCATGTCTGTATTGTAATTTACTATCTGTTGTATAAAAACACTATAATGACATACTGTCCTGTCTCACTAATAGATACATACGGTCAGCGATCGTGTCAATCAGCATTATTAATCCAGTATTTACTTATCCCATCTGACAGATAATAATAATAAAAGGCGTATTACAATACACTGATTTTAGGAGCCTAATTAGGTTTCAAGAAATGAAAAGGAAACTGTAATGAAACTTAGAACGGTTAGGATAGGATTCAAATTACCCAGCCTGTCAGGAAGTTTCCTATGTTCCTAATTAAATTTCACTGAATTAGGATTCCTGAGTTCAGTGAAGTGTAACATGGCCTTAACTTACAAAGACTAACTTAGAAAAACTACTTCTCGTAATATACCTAACCTTTTTTCAGTTAACTTTTTTTTGTGCTGCACAGCCTGTCTAGTAGTATATACGAAGTCTTGGTATTTTTAGATACTTTTAGGCAAAAGCTATATTATAATATATTTTACCCCAAACATAATTTTAAAAAAAAATTTAAAGATAGACTATAAAGCTTTTTAAGTAAGTAAACAAACTACGATATATATGTATTTTTTTTAAATCGGAATGCTTTTAATTTTTTTTTAAATATATCATCCAGCATCAAGTTCAAAATAGATATACCACTATTATGAAATATTTGTCGTGTTTGTAAACATTTTGTTTAACTAATACTCTGTAACTCGTGCCATTAAAGAAACAAATCTAAAAAGACGCTCCTTTTACTCGAACATATTATGTACGTGATGTCTATAGTCACACATGTACGGACTGAAGACAAAAAGTACAGAGTTGTGATTACCCTCCATGCTGTCTCGACGCGATAAGTTATAAAATAATTGTTATAATTTTCTCTTAGAAATATCTGTAGAAATAAAGATAAGTTGAATGTTGCATAAAGTCAGGTTTTTACAAACTTGTTTGTGACGAATACAATGCCGTTTACATAGGACAGACTGGTCGGAACTTCGTTTACACATAAGCATAACATTCCTTGTTTCCAGATAATGTTGTGTGCCGTTATTTCCTTTATAGTGGTTTATTGTTTATTTTACGATGCGTGATATTGAGTATTTAAATGTACAAACTAAGATAAATTTTTATTATAATGTAAGGTGCATTAGGGGAATACAGACAGAAATTTAGAAGACATGACGGGATTTGTGCATGTTGTTAAATTGCGAGTACTTGGAGTACCTAACAGAACAAACTTAGTGCAGATATATTGGAAAAACTGAAGTACACATGTTTCGGGGATCGAAACAGTAGCACTTGTGGTCACCAGACTAAAAGGGCAGTTATAATATGTTTAAAACCAAGGTCAAGAGCTGGCCCAAACATTAATCAAATAATAATATTATTATTAAATCTTTTTGTTTTAAATTATCGTCGAACAATGTTATAAACTCTGAACGTCTATTACATTATTAATCGAAACAATCAGTTCACTTACTTTCGCATTATTAATAAAGAATAAACATAAATTTCTCATCATCACAGATTGAGAATCCCTGACTTTTACTATTTCTCCTATCCAAATATATTCCGAATAAAAATTAGAAATGAAGTTAGAAATTATTATATAGCTTAATATTTGAATGAGAAAGATAACCTACGCCAAAAATTATTTATTTTTCATTTAACTTACCAGGTTGCCGAGAAAAAGTAGTTGGGGTTAATTCGAAAATCACTCTGCTAGTTTTAGCGACTAACGTCAACTGGAGGGACGATAGGAGATTAAGATATATGTCGCTGCTTTTGCTAGAAATTAGCTTAAATCGGCGTATATTCCCATTTTCTTAATAACCCCAAAACACCTTACAAAATATCTTACTATGTTTAATACCTAACTTGATCATATTATTAAAAAATAAATATAAATTTTTTTTGCTGACTGTACTTTCTGTCAACTTAATTTAAAGCCGACTATAGATTTGTTTCTTTATTGGTACAGCTAACAACAAATATTTATCTGTGATTCTAAACAAAAAGGTACATATTAAATCAATTAATTATCAAAGTCATAACGGTAAACCAAATTACTTTTATTGTTGTTTGTTAATAACCAGTTTTACTTTCTTTATACCAAGTTATCAGTTTACCTATAATTTATAAAAATTATTTTCAATCCATTTTTATTTAATATTGTGGGTGCCTTAGTCATCAAAATAATTATATTGTAAGTAATAGAAAATAAATCACAATATCTTTGGCTCTATGGTATTAAATACACTAGGCCATTATCATATTTTTAAAATATAGCCAGTACATCAAATTAATGTTACAGTGAACAAACTTCTAACAACTGTCTAACAACCTTTGTCATGATGAAAATTGTGGATTCTATTGATCCATTTCATAACTTAATACATACAAACAAATTAGATAATTTTGTCAATTATTGTAGTTGTACACCTTGTATCCATGTGTTTAAATCAGCTGTACCAGGACAATCTAGAAGATTTTCAGGTGCTTCATCAGGTGCTAGTAATCGACGCGCTGCTGCTTGGCCAGATAAATAGGCACCATGAACAGTAGAATAAAAATTACTATGAGTGTGTTCGCCAGCAAAAAGTAATGTGGGCTGAAAATAAAAAAGTTTTTTTAATGGTTATTTATTGTATACACTTTTTTTACTTACAGTGTTAAAAAGACGTTTTTATAAGCAACAACTGTTCCTTTTTAAAACGTTCCTTTCTAATTTACTAAAAGATAAGTAGCTCCATGACTTATATTTGACTTAAATTTTCACATTTGGTCCAAGTTCAATCTTTAATAGTCAATGGGCCCACATACAAGGGATTTCAGTAATTAATAACAGGCTGAAAGTTTATACACAGCTTCGTTTTGACGAGACACCCAACTTTTATCATTGGACCAAATTCTGATAGTGGGAGGAAAAACGCGATAGGGAGCGAAACACGTCGATTTGATGAGTGTCCCAAATTAAATAATAACAGTTTCTAAAAATCAATACTTCGAGAAAATACGATGGAAAACTGAGAAAAACTTGTGGCATACAAAGTGAATGGTACCTTCCGAGTGACCCCCAGCTCTAACATGTCAGAATGGTGACTTGAAAAAATTTATTAATAACAAGCTGATTTTTATTTTGGGGCTTGCAAAATATATATTTTTTATAAAAAATGCATCGGCATAAAATTCGTTGGTAATTTTTTTGAGATTTACACTCGAAAGTTGTCAAGATTATGTTAATCTTTTTTTGATTAATAACCGTATGCCACGAAAAATTTATAATTATTTACTTAATTCTTAATCTAAATATAATAGTGACCTACAAAAAATGGTATTTTTTGGTTAACCTACAAAAACAAAAATCTAATCATTTAATATGTGCTCCGTACTTATGTCTTGTAACCACTGGTTTCACTAATGTTATAAAAATAAAAGCTTGTATTTTGAGTGTATTATCAGAACTTTACTTGCAGAAAGCATAAATTTCTTTCATAAATTTTTTTATAAGTTCTCTTTTCGGACGAAAACGTTCGTCCTTACGTAAAGAATTGCACAAGAAACACTCCATGATGACGATCACTTAACAGCTTCGAAAAGAGAGCTCGACTAAACCCATATGGAACGCTTTGAATTGTGTTTTGAAAAATAGTCGTTAGAGCTGATGCTTAAAGGAAGTTGGGAGGGGATAGTGGGTCTTACGATTTTATACCTGAGGCAAAATCACACAGTTCAGCATATTATTATTTTTATATAAGGCACTGCGAAAAAATTATTGCTACAAATAATACATGTTGTATTAGGTATATGTATTTTAGGTAAATATTTTTAATTTGTTAATATAATAAAATAAAGATATTACTTTTAATTCGATTACAAATTATATATTCAAAATATAAAGAAATTAAAAAACTGTAATTTATATTAATTTTTAAGTACCTACACGAGTTATAAATATGCATTTTTCGAACTACAGAACAATTTTTTTTTATAGACGATAACTGATTTTACAATTTGCTTTACAAACAATGATTTTTTCCTTACTTGACTATCACTTAAAAATTGTTGTTAACTGAATAATAAAATAAATAAGTAGTTCAATAGCTCAATTGTATGCCAATAGTTTCATGGTGTTATACATTTGTTTCTTAACAGAAAAAATTAAAAAAGAAGTTGTTATTAATCAAAAAAAGATTAACATAATCTTGACAACTTTCGAGTGTAGGTCTCAAAAAAATTACCACCAAATTTGTATGACGATGCATTTTTTATAAAAATATATATTTTGCAAGCCCCAAAACAAAAATCAGCTTGTTATTAATAAATTTTTTCAAGTCACCATTCTGACATGTTAGAGCTGGGGGTCACTCGGAAGGTACCATTCACTTTGTATGCCACAAGTTTTTCTCAGTTTTCCATCGTATTTTCTCGAAGTATTGATTTTTAGAAACTGTTATTATTTAATTTGGGACACTCATCACATCGACGTGTTTCGCTCCCTATCGCGCTTTGTCCTCCCACTATCAGAATTGGTCCAATGATAAAAGTTGGGTGTCTCGTCAAAACGAAGCTGTGTATAAACTTTCAGCCTGTTATTAATCACTGAAATCCCTTGTATGTGGGCCCGTGGACTATAATGAAATTAATGGATCTAATAAGAGCAATATAAGTGCTAATTATTAGAATGTTTTCCCTGCCCAGCATGAGCTAGAAAGGCAACAAATCCGGCTTATAAATTAAATAAAATTATAATAAAAAAACAAGTGTGCTTTTATAAAATACTAGCTGACCCGGCGAACCGCCTAACAGTCGAATCTTTTTTTTTTTAATACTTATTCTGCTATTTGGGACACCGGGTCAGCTAGTAAGATAAAAAAAGAAAAAAGAAAGTTGATAAGTCAATAATTACATTACGTCAAAAAATAAAAATTATAATTGTTTTGCCTTCCCGGAACCCCTCCACTAACACCTAAACTTTATGGTATGGTATTAAAGTTCAAATTGACTTTTAAGTATTATTACGAATCTTTTGTATGGGAATATAGAAAAGTGTTATTTTTATACTTTTTCAGGCAATTTTTTAAATTTTTCTCTCCGTAAGAACCATCTTCGTACTTCAAGGAATATTATAAAAAACAATTAGCGAAATCGGTTCAGCTGCTCTCGAGACTTACGCTTAGCAACATATTCAGTGATTCATTTTTATTTTATAGATAAGTGTGACTAACAAGCACACAGTCTACCTGATAGTAAGGAGATGCTGTGGCCTATAGATATCTACATCTTTCCTCAATTAAGAATCAAAATGCAGATGCGTTGTCAGCCCTGCTGCAGAATGCTACGTAGAATTTCTTGACAGAAAACCCAATAACTAATTTTGATTCATCCTGGATTCAAACACAGGCCCTCGTATTTATAATTCGCAATTACGACTGCTGAACATAGGCGCAAGTAATGCGATGAAACACGGTCTTGAGCCACCTGCTTCCATCGACTTCCTGCACGTCTTACCAGGTCGTCACTCCATCTAGTAGGGAGGTCACCCTACACTTCACCTACCGGTACGAGGTTTCCACTCGAGAACCTTTATTCCCCATCGGTTGTCGGTTCTTCGAGCTATATGGCCGGCCCATTGCCACTTCAGCTTACTAATTCATTGGGCTGTGTAGGTCACTCTGGTTCTACTGCGGATATCCTCATTTCTAAGTTTATCACGCAAAGAAACTTCAAGCGTTGCCATCTCCACAGCTCACTGAGCGACCTTGAGCTTCTTCATCTGGTCAGCAGTGAAGGACCACGTCTCAGTTTCATAGGTCATCACTGGCAACAGTAGCTAGTAATTTTTGCACAGATAAATATAGATTTTACATATTTGCTAATAAATATATTATCTATACAAATATGGAAAATTGTAACAACATGCTTTAATATATTTAACAAAGAAAAATTTAAATGTGTTTTAATATGAATATATCAAAAATATACAAAATTAAATTGGGATTCATAACTGTTTCAATCTTATCATACTTAAATTTTATCTTTGTGTGAAGTTATCTTTGTTTTTTTTATTATTTGAGGTAATTATCTCGGCACAGAATAAATTGAATATCATAGTTTTTAGCCCATAACTTGTAAGATAAATTTTATTTTTACTAGCTTACCTTTTTATCATGAACATTTCTAAATAAAGGTTGTGCTAAACTTTCAATATCACTTTGACTAGCACCAACAGCAATAGCTGTATATGATCCTCTTGTATAAGGCTGTTTCTTCCAACTAGTGCTATAAAAATTGTAAGAATAATTAAGACATATATAATTTATGGCATACTACTGTATTAATAATAAAATACTAACCAAACACAATTTTGTGGTTCTGGTACAAAGGGATCATTCAAGAACTTACGCAAAATCTTTGTGCATGTAATAGCTACTTCATTCATAGATAGTGTTTCCATATACTCAGCTTCCATTCCAGATATCCAACCTAACAACAATGTCTCGGTTACTTTACTAAAAGAGTAAATTTTCTTATACCAACATTGTGATAAGTCTTCAGGACTTGATGGACTTTCCCAAAGGAGCATTATTTCTGTAATATCTGGATTCAAAAATGGTCTCTCATATTCCAAAAATATTTTATCAACAGCACTGAAAAGTAGCCTCTCTATAGATTCAATTTTATACTGCGGTAATGTGGGTTCAAATAGGGTACTTGCATGATCTTTTAAAACCCCCAAAGGAATTGTACATATGACATGATTTGCATAAAAACTTTGTCCATTTTCACAAATCACTTCCACTGTATGCAGTAACTTTTTCTTTGATTTAATAAGAGTATCTGTTGGTTGTTCAGTGATATTTGTTTTTTCTGATGTTGATTTCGAAATGTCTTCAATCACTGTCTGATCTGAGTCTTCTGACTCTTCATCATCTAGCCTAGATAAATTATGCTGCTCTGAATCCCAAACTATTTTTTTCACAGCATGATTAGTTATTATTTTGTCAGAAGGAATATGTTTAGTCATAGGTTCTAAAATCTTACTATAACCAGACGGTATCATTATATTACCACCTTGAAGTTCTGTATAGCTACCTAATTCTAAAAGATCAATTTCATCCATAGTATTACATCCAGATATACAAGTTTCACGTTTTAGAAGACAGTCAAATATTAAACGCCGTAACTTTTTTTCCTCCGATGCCGGTAGTCGCTCAAGATAAATAGTGGCTTCTAGATTTATATGTTCTCCTACACTATGTATATCGGGTGGTGGTAGGTACTGGCACAAAAAATATTCCTCACATCTTCTTAAAAAACATACATAAGCTTCGTGTATTTCTTGCAACACTCCAAAAGGAACTTGTTTCCCATCCTCAGTAGCCGCTATAACCTTATGTGGCTTAGGTATATTAATAATGTTTACAAGACCATTTGCCGTAGCTATTTCATAAATTGGATTGCCTAAGACTCCGTGAATCCAATTGGCTCCTAGTTCTACGTTATGATTTTTCATAGGTATTGAAATAATTCTTCCACCAATACGTTTCCTAGCTTCCAATATAATAAAATCTTCCGTGCCATTTTTAATTAAATAATTTGCAGCGGCTAGACCAGCCATGCCACTACCAATTATTATAACATTATATCTTCGTGTTTCACATTTTTTACTGGAATTTAAATCTTTGTCGCCCATAATATTTAACCAATTGGAACAATTGTTTGTCACTGAGTTTTTGACGCTCAGCTGTTGCATAAAAATGTTATCTTTTTGACATGTGTATGGTTTCTGGTTTCTGCCTTAGAGTATATCACCGTCATAAAGGTACTCTAGGTAAAGGTGTTAAATGCAATGATAAGCTCAAACTAATGGGTGCATTCGACACTTAACAAATTTGGTTTTATCAACTTTTTGTGCTTATCATTGCATTTTATGCTTTTTAACGATGGTGCAATTATCTTCAAGCCAGGCGCAGTTTTTATACTGTAAAAAGTCATCATCATTTGAGACATTACAGCCGCGGGTGGGCCTTAGTCTGGTCCAGCAAAGCTCTCCAGTCCAATCTGTTAGAAGCTTTCCTTCTCCAACTTGTTACTCCCAAGATCTTGATATCTTGTTCAACGCCGTCCAACCATCTGAGCTTGGGCCTGCCTCGACTTCTGCGGCGCTCCGGTCGGCCTTCTAAAAGGCGTTTGGGTATTCTGGCCTCGTCCATTCGCAACACGTGCCCTGCCCAACGCAGGCGCCCGATCTTTATGGTCTTAATTACGTTTGGCTCATCGTACATTTGGTATAGCTCGTGGTTATAACGCGTTCGCCATCACTCATTTTCCATCACAGCTCCGAAAATGCGTCTTAGTATTTTCCGCTCAACTACCAACAAGGAATTTTCGTCTTTTTTGCTCAGCACCCAACATTCGGAACCGTAGGTGAGTATAGGTCTTAGTAAAGTTTTCTACAAGAGAAGTTTTATGCTTCTTGAAAGAAGTTTCGAACGTAAGTATCTTAGTAGTCCGAAGTAGCACTTGTTAGCCGCCATTATTCTCCTACTTATTTCTGACGACACATCGTTGTTATCGGTTACTAAGGATCCCAGGTATACGAAATCATTGACGCCAGCGAAGGTGTTGTTGCCAATATTAACCCCTTATAGTAGAGTTTGCTGGTCTTTTGACGCTTTCAGGTACTTAGTCTTAGCCATGTTAACTTGGAGACCAGCCCCCGCAGCTGATTTTTCAAGAGCAAGGTATGCACTCTCCATTGCAGGTAGAGATCTTCCTATCACGTAGAGGTCATCCGCATACCCTAGAATTTGAACAGATTTGTGGTAGATAGTGCCTTTGGTCTCGATCTTTGAGTCACGAATACACTTGTCGAGAGCGATGTTGAACAGTAGGCACGAGAGCGCATCCCCTTGTCTTAAGCCGTCATTGGTTCTGAAGGGCTCTGATACATTTGTTTGAACTCCAATAACGGTCTGAGAGTTTCCAAGAGTCATCTCTGTCAGGCGCACGAGCTTTGTTGGGATGCCAATCTCCATCATAGCCTGGTACAGGAAACTTCTGTGCACATTGTCATAGGCAGCCTTAAAGTCTACGAAAAGGTGGTGAGTGTTCACGTTATACTCAAACGTTTTTTCAAGGATCTGCCTAAGCGAGAAGATTTGGTCTACTGTGGACCTGTTTGGACGAATCCCACACTGATACTCTTCCAAGCTGAATTCTACATATGGCTTTAGTCTATTAAAAAGCATATTGGCAAAAACTTTATAACCGGTGTTCAAGAGAGATATGCTTCGGTAATTATTGCAATCCAATATGTCGCCTTTCTTATGTAGGGGACAGATAACAGATGTATTCCAATCATCAGGGAATTTTTCATTGTTCCAAATTTGGAGCACCAGGTGGTGAAACTCTTTCTCGAAACCAGTTCCGGCATACTTTATAAGCTCGCCTTGGATATCGTCCATTCCCGGAGATTTGTTATTTTTAATGGATTGAATGGCTCGTATAGTAACTTCTATAGTGGGGTACAAAGATTCATCAGTCTCTTGATTGTTTAGTAGAGCTTCAGGAACTAGTACTGAAAGTGGACGAGTCTGCACTGAACAGTTAAGGAGTTCACGAAAGTATTCAGCCCATCTTTGAACGATGTCATCTTTATGATTAAGTAGCTGTCCATTCTTACTTCTATTCGCCGTGGTTCTGGGTTTAAATTCTTTCCGTCCCCTATTCACTTGGTTGTAAAAGTTTCTAGTTTCCTTTTGTGTGTAACTAGATGCAATCTCACGCAGTTGTTGTTCTTCGTGCGATCTTTTCTTTCTCTTATGTAGGTGTTTTTCTCGTCTTCTTCGCTTCGTATACTCTTCTCCACGCCCGCGAGTGTACTTCTGTTGCATTAATCTGTACGCATCATTTTTCTCATTAGTGATCTTCTGACATTCATCATCAAACCAGTCGTTACGCTTCGGTTTTTCCTCAAATCCCAAAATCTCACTAGCAGCCGTAGATAAAACCCCTTTAAGATTCCGCCAGGTGCTATCAGGATCGCCAATGCTGTTGCTATTTCTTTCGTCCACTTCCATAAGTTCTCTGTGAACTGTGTCCATATATTTGTATTTGACATCCTGCTCTCTCTTCAGCCTTGTTGTGTCAATCTTTTTTGTTCTTACCGTTTTGGCGTACTTTTACGAGTCGATGTTTGCTCCTCTACGGCTTCTGACATCCAAAAGATTAGAGCAGTGTCTCCCGTCTATCAAAATATGGTCTATTTGGTTTCGGGTGACATTATCCGCGGAGACCCACGTTATCTTATGGATATTCTTGTGTGGAAAGCGTGTGCTGCCGACGATCATTCCTAGGGAAGTTGCCAAATCAATGAGACGTGTGCCATTGTCGTTAGATGTTTCGTGTAGGCTGTGGGTGCCTATCGTTGGTACGGTATATACTTTCTCTTCCCACCTTTGAATTCATATCCCCAATTATAATTTTGATGTCACCTTTGGGAGATTTAGAATACACGCTTTCCACATCGGAATACCATCTTTCCTTCTCTTCTAGGTCAGTATCTTCCGTCGGAGCGTGTACATTAATGATTGTGTAATTTTGAAATTTACCTTTAAGTCTGATTTTACACATACGTTCATTAATTGGTTGGAAATCAATTACAAGATGTTTTAGGCGTTTGCTCACGACGAAACCTGTTCCAAAGGTATGATGCTTTTCATTACAACTATAATATATGGCGAAATCGGGTTTATCAATAACGCCATGTCCCAACCATCTAAGTTCCTGGACCGCTGTTATATCAGCTCTGTGATTTGCAAGTTGTTGACATAAAAGTTGAAGGCTTGCTGGTCTGTACAGTGTTCTTAAGTTTCATGTACATAAGGTAAATTCGTTAGCCATTACTGAGTAGCCAGGTCGTTGGTTAAAAATCCGGTCCGTAAGTTTTGTATTTCCTTTCACAATCGTTTGTGTTCAGACGAGTGGGTGATTAACCCCCTGCGTCCTAGGCCTTTAGTGGGGCTGCCACTTTTGAGCTCAAGACTTAGCTCCGTTTGTTATCAGGTATCGTCCCTTCCGAGTTGAAATCAGTTTTAAGGCGCCGGTTGCTCGCCTTCGCCCTTTGTCCTTAGCATCTGCGCTCTGAGAAAGGAATGGTGATCGTACTTAGAGTACGGGCGCAGAAGGTTCCAGGGGGTACGATGGGTACGTGGACAGATCGGACTGGTTGCTACCTGCATACTTGTGCTCCACCATCAGAGCACTGCAGTCAGAAGATGGGCTTTTTATAGAAGTCACTAAGCACTGTAAAAAGTACCCAATTCTAATAATTTGAAGTAATATCGACGTCATAAGGTGAGCGGTATTTAACTATTTTTTATTTTAAAAACTACATGGGTGCAGTTTAAATAGTTAATATTTTTGAGACGTGCTATTTAAAATACGTCTGCCAGTATTTTTTTTATATATGTACTCCAAACTCTTAGGCTGGGGTAGGGGGGGTATAAAGCAGTCATGTACTTAAAATTTACAAAAAGATGGAGTTACATTCCATATGTAAGTTTTTTTTTATTGTGATATATGTTCTTTTTCTATTAAAATCATTTAAAATAATATCATAAATAATAATCGAAAACTACGAGTACGTAATATTTCATAAAAATCGTAGTGCTAATCGCAGTTTGACAACCATATTCCCCACGAGACTATTTTTTAAGCAATTTCAAACTACGTATGCTATAAATCAGGTTTAAAATTGAACACGCAAGTACAATCGCACTCCTTATCAGATTATTTTATTTTTGTATAGTAATTTCAATCAACAACGCATATAGCTGATTCGAGACAAGTGGTCACGTTGATTTCATTATAGTCCAATTTAAAATAAGAAGAAAGCCGTAAAATATCAACTTTAACGAATAAATACTCTATTGTAAATAAAACAAGGTAACATTTAGGCAATGGTTAATCATATCAAAGAAACAAAAACATTTATACCTCCTTTTATCATGCAAAACTTTTACGTATTAATACATGAAAATGGCAAATTAATTTCCAAGTGAGATCACAAATCAGTTTATATACCTATTTATTTCTAATCTAACCATTTATTTTTAAACAAGAGGAACATAGTATTATGCACTTGTGGACAAACGAATTTGCGAAAAGCAGTGCACGATCGGCGTGTACTTTTATTGTGAAATCTTCCACAGTCGTAGCAGTGACCTACTCTATTAGTTTGCGACGATGATGAGGTAGATGGCTGAATATCGGCTAAAAATATAGTTACCTTTAGTTTTGCCTGCTTGATAACAATGATCAATTATTATGAAAAAATCACAGTGCGCATTGTTTATTACAAAATATTTAAGGTCTTACCAAACTTTTTAAATTAGAATTTGAACTAAACAGCACAGGTACGTAGCATTTGAATGCTAAGCAACATTAATCTTTAATAATTTACCTCTATTATTCATAAATAAAAATAATAAATTTCATGTCTTGCCAGTAGCAAACCAGCAAATGTGAGTATAGATCATTGTCATTGTAAAATAAGTCATTGTCAGCAATATTTCACAGTTGGATTTATTGCGACAATAAATAATTTTTACAATTTCTTCTTGGGAAAATGAAATCAAAGTAGGTAGCAATCATTTCCATGCTTATTCTCTGTCTACGCATGACTGTCTAAATGCAAAAAAAAAACGCCTAACTTAGCAAATGGCAACACTGCAGTTTTTAGTCCGTTTCGCAAGGTTGCGCCCAGTTACTAATTACTATACTCCAAAGAGTATACTAACTGTCCTACTATACTCTTTGGTTGCGTCAATAAAACGGAACCTCTCTGAACCTCTGTGACGGAACGGAATGATTTGTTTGTTTCTCGAGCGAGCGTCTGGCGAGGGGCGACTGTCGAGGTGAAGCGGGGGAAGGTAGTTAGGGGCTCGCCTAACTACCTTCCCCCGCTTCACCTGTCTGTCGAGATATAGCTATCCTTGTTTTCTTCATAACCTTTGTATATATCTGTCACATCTATGTGACCTTCGAATAAGCTGAATAATAATACCTATCATAAAAATCTTTGTTTACTTCTCAACTTGTATCTCGTGTCTCGTGGTAGTGTTTTTGTTATTGTGCGAAAATATCAATAAAAGTTTGTACTACAAGTGCTTACTTTGTTGAATGTAATATTTTTGTGAATTTGGTGTTAAACGTTATAATCGGCTGAATGAATTAAAGGACAATAATTAAAATAGCATTTTGTTCGATAACGAAAGTCATTGTCGATATACAAGTGCTTACTTTTCAATAATAATGTTTACGTTATGTAACTGAAAAATTGATTTAAAGTGTTTTAATCTTAATAATGCTGTTTATTTAAGATATTCCAAATACATTATAATCTACGGAATAAATAAACAGTGAACTACGACACGTGGGTCTTGCAGTGAAAATCGATAAAAACGTAAGCGTGCGCTAGTCTATCAACGACACAATTCTACGTCAAGGTCATCTTATATAAACACGTGCAATGTCGGATTCTATTTACACACATGATTTTCTTCTAGAATCTGGTGTAGAGGTAAAACAGGAATCGACGTTCGAGCTCGGACCTATGTCGGCGTCCGTGCCGATTCCACAGCGACGTACAGAACTTGGTGATTTTAATACAGATCTTGATATGTGCCTCCAAGATAATCTAGGGGGTTTGTTTCACAGTGTACCAACTATGCAGTATAACAAATTAGCCTTTGAAGTAGAAAACACATCTAAAATGGAAAGTTTCAAAATGGAAGATGATGACATTTTTCAAGTTGATAAAGCTGATCTTATACTGGGGCCAACACTTGCAGAATTAAATGCCAATCCAGACACATTACTGGATGATCTTAATTTTGATGACCTACTCTTGCCAGAAGAAAGTGAATATTGTATTCAAATTGGAGGAGCTATCAGTGGTTCTCGTCGAACAATAAATACATTGCAAACAACTAGTCTTCAGCCGGCAGAAAGTCCTTGTAGTCCATACAGTCGATCACAACTAGCTTTTTCACCATCAAGCCAGCATAGTTCGGCTTCTTCCAGCATTGCTCAGCCAAATAATCAAATGTCAGAACTTCTCTTTAAAATGGATGGCTACAGTGGTGAAATAGCCCTTGGGCAATCGGTTCCAGCATCTACAATTTTACCACCATTTCCAACTTCTGTAAAATCTCAGCAATCACAACTTTCTTCTTCTGCACCAACTCATCTCACAATGGAGCAGGTAATTTACTTTTTAACTTAAAATAATATAAAACATATTATAGAATGATAAATGATGGTTTTCGATACATTTTCAACACATTCTAATATCTATTATTAAACAAAGAAGCAGAATGTATTATGATTTAAAACTTGATAACCTTTTCATTTATTGACCTTCCTGGTACAATTAAAATTAAAGTTATTGTGATCATATCATCATTATTTGTTTTAAAAAAATATATTTTATTGAAATTAAAAAGAAAAGAGCAAATATGATGTATATATGAATGAAAGCGGATTGGCTTTAACATCCTGGAGCATAATTTTGTTGGTGATTTTTTTTGGTTTTGTTAGTGCTCTGATGCACATCCTAATAATATTGACCGAAATATGTATATCCTAAAAATATTTTTTTAAGGTTAATTAGGATTATAATTTTACTGCGGCACTATTTCATTGATAATTTTGGACTTAATTGATGTACAATAATGGCTCTGATACACACTCTTGTGGTTTAATGGAAATATATTAGTTTTGAAGAAATTATTTGATAAAGTTGATAAAGGCATTTTGATCTGAGCTTGATTAATTGAAAAATCAATTATTCGGTGTTAAAGAATCCATTTTTTTAATCAATCTGAAATACTAGTAAAATAGCAGCTTAATGCTGCACCACGTTTTGTATGGTGAGTGTAGTGAAAAACCAAATACCATTTATACTGGATATGAGGCATTCCATTTTAGTTCTCAGTGGTGATAATGCATCAGCATATTGATTCTTAGTTGAGGATAAATGTAGACGTCTATGGGTCACAGTATCCTCTTACCATCAGGTGTCCTGTGTTCTCTTTTGTCACCACATTTCTATTAAAAAAAAAACTTATCTATTCAGTGGATCAATCCAGGAAGGAAACCATTGAATTGCCAGCTCTGTCCCTGTTATGACGCAATCTGTAAGGAACACCTACATTCAGCAATGGACATTTGATAGGCTGTAATGAATGAATGGATGAATGAATTTTGTTTAATGTAAGCGGTGTATGTACCTGTACTAAACTAGTAGATTAATACTTAATGTCAGACAACATCACTAAGAATTGGTGGGAGATGACACCTGTTTCCTTCCTGCTCTTCCATCAACCCCTTCTGATATTTTAATATGAATTCTTCAAAAATTCATAAAAAAATATAAGCCTTCCTGTATGTTGTACCTCCTCTCGCCCCTCTATATCTGACGTAAACAATGATGCTTGTACCACCATATCACTGAAGCATCAAAAATTGAATTCATCTGAAATATTTTTTCATATTAGCATTTTGTTATACCATAAACATAAAATTTAGCTCAAAAGTCATAATATAATCTTTTTTGAAAATATAATATATTTTTGTGTTTCAATTGATGTCTTTATTGTAATTTGCATTAATATCATCACTTTTTACAAACTTTTTTGTTGAGGTTTGGAATTGGAGTCAAGTGAGGAAACAAATTCGTGCTATTTAAGATGTTTTTTTTTTATTGCAGATCTGTTGATTAGCTTTAATTAATCTTAATTTGTGTTGGTTGTGGTTTTAAAAGTAAGTGTTGATTAGTAGTTTACATTTCAGTATATATGATTTCCTTAAATAAAATGGAGGAGGATCCTCCCGATCCGGATGGTGTCCCCGGTAATCCTCGTCCTCCCATATCAGTGGATAAAAATAACATAGAGCAAATTAATTGCAAACGACCATAAAGCGGTAGTGATACAATTAGCCCACAAAAAAGATTGATAATAAACCCAGCATAACCTTTACCATCGATCTAATCTATATATACCCACCCTGATTATATTGAAAAAAAGTGTAAATACTCTGATGAAGATGCTTCACCTTTTATAGAGTAAAATAGCGAATAACTTATTATCCAGAACAATGTTAAAACCTATTAAATTAGGCCACTTCCTTTTTCACAATAATATCAAAAATATTGTGTGTGATGGCGTCAAGTGAGTAGGACGCAACAGAATATCTGTTAAATTTAAAAGTGCAGCCAACACCAATACTTTTATTGATCATCCAGCCCTTTCGGCAGCCAAATATGAAACTGTGATACCCTCATATAATGTCACTCGAATGGGAATAGTTAAGACAGGTTCCTGTAGAGTGGACATTAGAAGACTTAGTCACTTCCATTAAAGTCCCCTCTGGTTTTGGTAAAGTTATTAAAGCATGCCGACTGAATTGACGATCTGTTAGCGAGAGCAATAATCCAATTTGGATCCCAACTCAGACTGTTGTTTTGACTTCTCAGGACAAAAATTACCAACTCATATTTACTGTTTTTATAAGTTTTAAAAGGCTGGCAACACGAGAAATATTTCTTACTTGGAAGCCTCAGCAAGATTCCCTCCAGTAAGATCTTTTGCAGACACCACAATATCTCTCAATCCTAATATCCAACATATCTCCCATTCTGTACTAAGTGACCCATCTACATCATTATCTTCCTCATCCCAAATCTCCTCCCATAGAAAAACTATATTCATTCCCAGATATTCTTCAAATCCACATCAGATTCTCATATCCAATACCGGATATGAGAAATCTGCTCATTGTGCAATTACTGAAACCCCTGCCTCTACTTTATCTAATGGATGTGCCTTAACAGAGAAAAATTCCATTTCCCCAAATGATAACCTTTTTGAGCTATTAATTTCCATGGTTATTAGTATGTTATCCCATTTTAGTGATACTGATCTTCCATGTAAATTACGTCAGAAACCTACTGAGCTTTCCTCCTTAGCTCATAACATATGCAGTCCTACTAATTCTTCAATGGAATTGTCAGAGCATTAGAAAATAATAGAAATTAACTCATTTACCTCATCAATAGATTTCATCCCTTCATTCTTGCTATCCAGGAGACGTGGCTTAGGCCTGAGTTTCATTTTAAGGTTTCAGGCTACGCATGCCTCTGGGATAGTGGGAGTGATGGTCGTGCTGGTACCTCTGTTTCCATTTCAAGAACAGTTACATTTTCACAAATTTCTCTCCCTTCTCATAGTCCAGCAATAAATGCTATTGCTATTAAGGCCCTTGATGTATCTATTCTCTCTGTTTACATTCCTAATCCTAATATAAATGTCTTAACAGAACTTGCAACACTTATTTCTTCTCTGTCACCTCCTATGGTTATTTTAGGAGATTTTAATATGCATTATACTTTTTGGGGCTCCGATCTTTGTGATTCACTGGTTCCCTTATTTTTAGATCTTATTGATAATTTTAATCTCTGTATTCTAAATGACGGGTCTCTTACTCATCGAGTATCCTATAACAAAATGTTAGAAGTGCCGTTGACCTAACTCTCTGTTCCCCAGATATTGCTTCCCTTCTTTTGTGGCAAATATTACCGTCTAGCCATGGCAGTGACAATTTTCCTATATTCGTCACTCCTCCTACTTCCCCTAGGATAAATTTTCCATTTTGCCCCAGACTAAAGTATAATCTTTCCAAAGCTAATTGGCAATTATATTCTTTAATTTTAGAATGAGAGGTTTCAACTCTTCCCCCAATTAACAACGATAACATTGTTCCGGTATATATAGAGTTCAGAAATGCAATTCTTTCTACTGCTAATAAGTCAGTCCCCTTAAAAAACATTAAAAAATTATTATTCTTTCCCTTCTTGGTGGGACCAAGATTGTTCAGCAGCTTGTAGGAGAAGAAAAGAGGCTGAATTAATATACTCCCGTTCTATGACTGCAGAGAATTATATCACTTATGAAAAAAAATTTGCAGAAACCTTAAAATTACTGTCAGACAAAAAGCGAAGTGGTTGATTTAAATTCTGTGAGTCACTGTCACCTAGCACTCTCCCATCTTTGATCTGGAGAAATGTTAAAAAATATTGCTGTGCCCTATGGATAGATGCATTCTCCAATAAACTTGCACCACAAACAATTCCATCTTATGATGCATGTCTAGTTTTTAATTCTGCTTCTTTACAAACATGATAAATTTGATTTCCCCTTTTCTTCTAAGGAATTGCTTACTGTTCTTAATGGCCTTAAAGACTCCTCGCCGGGTATTGATGGGATTCCTTATTTGTTTATAATTAATATAGTGAGAATATTAAAACTGTCTTACCATCCATTTTAAATTTTATTTATATTACTAGTGCTCCTACTGCTGAATGGAAATACCAAATCATTTAGCCCATTCTCAAACCAGGTAAGTCTAGCAATGACCCTTTCAGTTACCAACCTATTGCCGTTTCATGTACTTTGGCAAAAATCTTGGAACGTCTAATAAAAAATCACTTGGAATGGTTTTTGGTAAGGAATAATGTCTTACTTAAAAGCCAATTCAGTTTCCAAAGACTTATGTACCATTGATAGCCTTAGCACTTTGATCACAGATATTCATATTGCTTTTTCAAGACATCAATTTTTCATAGGAGTTTTCTTGGATATTTCGTCTACATATGATAATGTGCTTCTTCCTGTCCTCAGGCAGAAAATGCTTAATCTGAGCATTCCAGTGAGGATAGTCTTCTTCTTCTTCTTTCTTTTTTATGGCGGTTTTGATCATTCGCCAATGTCAGCGTGAAAGCGTTTATTGAGTAGAAGCTCAGTAGTTACAAATACTATGCCCATATACAAGAGAAGATTGTGATAGTACAAGTATCTTTTTTCCTTTAAACCAATTTTTTCCCCTTTTATCTTGTAGTACTAATGGTTATACTGTTGAATTACCTAGAACAAATGACAAACACGGTTGCTATAACTACATTAGTATGTTAGTATTGACAAACATTAAACTTTTATACCATTAGTGTTAATAAAATCACACAGAATATATACATAAGGAGTGTTTGTGTAGGTTAAAAGTGAATCAAAATTTATAGGACGAGGGATGTCAGGAGGGAGATAATCATAGAGTGAACAAGATAATTTAGGACAGTTAAAAAAAATATGGTCGGAGGTTCCCTCATCCAACCCACATTCGCAGAGGGAACTATCCCTAATCCTCAGT